CAAACAAATGGGAGTGTACCACTCAGCATTTACTGTACTGCGTTATTCTCACGATATGGATGCACCATGTCCAGTGTTTCCATAAAAAAAAAATAGGCAACCATTTGCTTGGAATTGCTCCGTGCGCGAACAACTTTTTTTGGATTCACAACTCAACTGGAAACACGCTTACAGTCGACTGCTGTTTATTTTCTGGTTTATACGCGTAAATCTACGATTCATCACCTGCCACGATGTCATAGACATGTTTCGAACCACGTAGCGTATTTTTTTAACATTTCTCTCGACCAATCGACACGAGCCTACTTCTGAGCGAATCACAAATTATGACAAACGGCGATTAATTTTTAAAAATTTTGGTTTTCCTTGCCTGACGATAAAAAAGATTTTTATGCTTCAAATAATCTCAAATCCAAACCCCGAAAATATGTATTATAACTTATGATTGATACAGATAATTATGACGGCCTGGAAAAAAATTTATTTAAGAAGGTCATGAGAAAATTTCAAGTCGATCATTCTTGTCGTTCTTTTCTGACCAACTGTAAAAACAGCGTTTGGAGAAAAACGCATTAAAAGTTTTTGGAGCCAATTTCACGACGTTAGCATTTTACAAGAATGTTCACATCGCCGAAACTATTTTCGTAGAATATCCTCAAACAAATGCACATTCGGTGTTATATACAAAAAAATATAGAATTTTTTAAATTCACAAGTGAATGTATGTAACTAACGCCGGGGTTGGGCTAATCATCACATTAAACATCTTAGAAAATGTGTGGAGTGTATATATATACATATATATCTATAATGTATAAAAGAAAAATTTTCGATTATAAAAGCAATATCTAACTACACCATATAAGTCTCTACAAATGTCTTATCGATGTTAGAGGAAAGTTTTCCTCAACAATCCCCCATTGATTAACACCAATATACGAGCCTTTTCCAATAAAAAATTTTTGAAATTTGAAAAAGATTAGCTTCAGCTTATAAATTAATAAAATGTGTCTGCAATTATAGGAATAAAGGTTACGACCGCGAAAAATCTCAAGGTCATACCAAAACTATACATTTCAAATTTGTTTCGTAATTTAGGATGAATTTGTGCATTAGGGTTATTTCCCAAATTATTTTTTTTTTTTTACCAACGCCACCGGCAGTTTTAGTTTTTACAGTTTAAACAAAATTAGCCAATGGGAAAATCTTTCAAAAAATTATATTCTAATATAATTCTTCTAAAATTTTTTCATAAAACCACTCGTTTAAAAGTTATACGTACTGTACATCAAATGACCTGAGCAATCAAGCAAATGCATTATAAATACTGTGTTGCTCATACGACATGGTGTACTCTATGAATACAGTGCATTTGATTCATAAATTTGAACTGCGTATAACTTCTAAAGGAATGTCTCTATGAGGAAAACCAATTAGACCAATTTTTTTAGAGCGGGAAATTTTGTAGTAAAATATTAAATTTTCAAAGGTTTTAAATTATTTGTTTTGGAGATAAGGAACTTAATGCAAAAGATTCAAAAATTCCATGTTAAATATATGGAAAAAGTAAATGATTTGGACACAGTTTAAATTGGAAATAAATGTTTGTTTATATTGGATTCTATTTTATGGAAAAAACAAAACCTTTAGACGGCATCTGGAAAAAATAACAGACATCCTAATGTATATATATATCAGATTTCTCAAGTAAAAATACATTGAAAGAGAAACTACGTATCAAAACTGCAAGATAAAAAAGCGCCACTATCATTACGATATTAATAAGGTAGAACTCCACCCACACAAACATACATGTTTATAAACACACTCGAGTATAAGGGTATAAATACATATTCATACACGACTTCCTTTCCTCACAACTAAAGCACATAAATTTATGCGATAACCGAAATAAGTGCGCCGTCATGCAACACATTCATCAAATGAATATGAAAGAATATGCTGCGTTGTTATTGTTGTTGTTGTAAACTACTTAACACAAACCTGAGGTCGCAACTTCCAACGCGCTTATGAAGAATGGCAAACAGCAATTTACTACCCAAACACATCAAGTTTAGCCACTACGCATACGAAAGTACGCAAGTGACATACACACACATACATACATAAGTGTGTATGTATATATATTTATAAAGCACACGCCCCTTCGATAAGGCACTGTGTGCCGTTGAAGGACGATAACAATGTGTTGTGACTGATAATAATATTTATATTATTATCGTCATCAGCAGCAAAAACAAAACCAAAAACAACAACAGCAGCGCAATAAAGGCGGCATAATGATGACAACAACAATGCCAGTGGCAGCCAATTTTTTTTTGTGCGCGTAAAGAACAGTAAAATTGGCGAAAGCGTTGAAATGATCAGTGGCATCATCGAGCTCATTAGCATCAACGCATCAGCAGCTGTTTGATATCAGAGCAACGACAACAACAATGACAACAGCATGCAATAGTAGGAGCATGCAGCAGTGGCAGGAGCCATATAAGAAAGCAACAATAAACACAGAGAAACAATAATAATGTAATATTACGTTTACAACAACAATAACAATATCAACAACAACTACGACTTATATACAACATTAATAATAATAATAATAATACTAACGGTAACAGTGATAATATGGCTTGAAACAAGCAGCTAACAATTGTGCGCGCGACACACAGCCACGCGCACTAAAACAAGCAATACACACACGCACACATACAGTCAAATATTCCAGACGCGCCTCGATGTGTTTGCGCATTTACATTTTCTTATCATTTGTGCTCTGCACCTTTTCAAATCGTATCGCCCAACTTGAAGTTGTCACTTATTTATGAGTTGTTGTTGTTGTTCTTGTTCTTCTTTTTTTAATGCTCACATACAAATACATTTGCATCCCTATGCCGCCGAAAAAACCAATAGTAATTTGCATTCATATACAATTTGCACACTTTCAGGCGCGAATTTGCATATGAATGTGCGTGTTTGTGTATGTAAATATTTATTTGCCTGTGTGAGTACACCTGCTTTTGAGTGTCTTTTTTTCGCTCGGCGCGCACCTTACATGTTAACACAAAGTTGTTAGTATTTATTTTTATTTCGGCTGTATTTTTTTACTTACTACACACTCACACACACCTGCGACAACAAGTGACACAAGCCATTACGCAAAACTTTCGCAACAACAAAATTTATTTCATTCATATCGCTTAGCATCGTTTATCATTTCATAAACGTATTTCTTTGTTATGAGTTTTCCACACAAAGTGGAGGTATGGAGATGCCGTTAAGCGAAGTGTCATACCTTCGCGCATGCATACAAGTATATGCCAATGTAAAGTTACTTGGTTGTTCAATCAAGTTCACGGCAAGTTCAATTTTGTTTTTTTAGATATTTGCAACACTAACAAAAAATGCTACCATGTAATGTAACATAGAATAGAATTTTATATTTTATTTTGTTGTCGTATAAATTCTTAGTGCATTAAATTAATAAAAAAAAAAAACCATTTGGTAAAATGAACATTAAATAAAATTAAAATTAAAATTAAAATTAAAATTAAAATTAAAATTAAATATTAAATATTCTAATTAAAATTAATATATAAATTAAAATTAAAATTACAAATTAAAATTAAATATTATAATAATAAAAATTAAATTATATTAACTAAATTAAATTAAAATTTAAGAGCAGTAACAAAGGCATAAATTTGGGTATTTGGAACAACTGATTACAACTTTGAATGTCGAACGACTTCGTGCGACGGCACAGCCAATATATTAAAGTACAAATTGGCTTGATATAGGAAGTATCCAATTTAAAATTTGCCGGAGCAACCAAACTCTATATATCGGTATATGGTGGCTAGGGGCAAGTAACATATGAACCGATTTCATCAAATTTTGAAACCCAATCAAATTACTAAGTTTAATATTTCCCGCATTTTTATTAATCTATCTCACATACGAGGTATGTTCAAAGGAAAAGTTGAATTTAGAATTTTTTTGAAAAGAACTTATTTATTCATTAATATCTATTTTGTATCCTTCTAAGTAATCCCCCACGGATATGATACACTCGTGCCAAACCTTTTTTAAATTCTCGAAGCACATCTGAAATATGTTATTCGGCCATCAGCTCTTTCTTCGATTCTGACTTGATCTTATAAATTGTAGCAAAATGCTTTTCTTGTATTGGCTTCTTCACTTTTGAGAATAGGAAAACGTCACAGGGGGCCAAAACATTCGAGAAATTTGAATGGCATGAGCCGATTGATATGCCAACATCGTCTGCGACTTCCCAAATAGTGATTCGACAATTTTCAAGAACAATTTTCTCACTGCTTCGACTGACGTGATCGCACCTCCAAGATGCTCATCGCAATCAACATCTTCGCTCAAAAGTAAAAAATCGAAGAGCACACAAAAGCTTTACTAACCTTTTCTCTTATGTTCTATACGTGTCCAATTATAACAAAAGCAAACTAAGGATAATCGGAAATTTCCTTTGAACACCACTCGTACTGCTCGAAGTCAGAACAAAGGCTTGTAAAGGACCAGATCTACAATTCGCTATATTGAGCTCATTTTTTTAATTCGGAATCTCACCTTGAATTGAAGCAAGTATAATAATTTTTTAAAAACTTAATTAGGTATCAACTAGGTTATATGACCAGCACATTTTTCTTATGGCTTAAGATTTTCAGATCTCTAGACCATTTTAATTTTACCATCCATCCATCCAAATATTTTAGTCTTTTGAGTTTCTAATATTTTTGTCCATAATAACCGCTCGTGATATGAGTTCAGAGCCTTTGTTTCAGGAGTTTTGCATGCACAAGCAGAAGGAAGGCGACAAACCTAGTTGAAACCTTTATGTTTTTACAAAGCTTTCTCAATTTTTACTCACGTTATCTTTAATTACGGTGTACCTTGAGTCATATTAAAAAATAATACTATTACATAATTTTGTTTTCTTCTAATTTCAGAAAAACCCAGCACTTTCATCTTAAAACTCAACTGTGGAGTTGAACCCAACTATAAAGTATATTGCCACATACATATATAGGTGAGTCTTAGCATTCGGGTGCATCGAAGCCATAAAACCCATAATAATAAAAGATGCATTTCTTATAGCAACTATATTTACGTAGAAAGTTCTTTGTAGAAACATTGTTTGACATAAGCAAACTTAAGTTCAAATTTAGATATTGGAATGACAGCTTTATGTTGTAGTCGACTCTCGATCTCGTCACTCAGATCATTTCTACTCGTATATACACTATATAGGGTCTCCGACGTTTTCTTAATACGAGGCATCGCGATATATGTAGAAAATCTGGCAACCACGGATAGCACGTACTTTATGATTATTCCCCTTTACAACAACAAAGTTTTTCAGTTACATACCAATTTGAACTTTGTAACAAAAAATTTGGATTTTTTTGTTTTTAATAAACAATCGAAGTGGTTGAACTCGTGACTTTTTTTCATTTCGGCTAAAGTAAGCCTTTTCAACAATATATGCTGTTACATATAATTAATTATTATGTTAATTTGATAATCTAGCATCTCTGCCTTCAACTTCGTGTCACTTCAAAACTGCCTAAAACATTTCATACAAACCGAAAGTACTGTTTCAAAGTGTTAAATTAATCAAACACTTGCTTTGTCTTCTATTGCATACTTTAAGGCTTTCAAGCGCATACTTAAAAGGTACTTCAACCATTAAAACGCCATCGTTGTGGCTATTTAAAACGCAAAAGTTAATTTAACTTCGCTTAGCGTTAATGTAAGTCCAACAAAACAACAATACGAAAACAAGCAGAAGCAGGCAAACGCCCAAAACATTTAGAAATTTTATGATGCACTGTTGTTGTTGCTTTATGGTCAAACGTTAAATGACTTGACACTAACCATTTTGGCGGCAATATTTGCAGGATTGCAGTCATTGTCGCTATCATTACCGTAAACACAGGCATCGAAGCAAGCACAATTGCCTGTACACTGTTGGCAGAAATAATAGGGACAAACCCATTGGCTTATTTCAAAGATCACAAAAACTTTTTATCAACATAGGTTTTAATCAGTGGTCAACATGCAACAAAGTTTGATAAATCTACTTTGTGTTTATTGCGTTTTCGGACAATTATTTTTAGAAAGCCGGCGTACATCTTATTTTGTTTTCGTTGCTAGCGTTTTATGTTGGCAAATATAATAGGGAAACTCTCTGAAATTTTTTTTAAAAAGTAACATATCGAATCAATAACATTTTGTTTTTCAATGTATGCATTAATGATAAATAAACAATAATATTGCGTTTTTAATTCAAAAACGAAAGCTAGAAAAGTAAAATATGAGCCGCGAGGTGCATTACAACCCTTTTGACGGGAAAATGATGGTAAAACTATACAAGAGAAGAAAAAGTATTAGAGAAATACCAAATATCACAGACTGCTTCAAGAATATGACATTTAATGTTCTTCACAACGTGAAAACACTCGAAATTAAAAGAGGGAAAAGCAAAACCATAAATCGTTTCGATTATATGCTGGTACGTTACGCCAAGGAAAATTCATTTAAAGCTTACAATGACTTTAAAATGAAATTTAATGCACCAGTTGCAAGTCCTAGAGTTTGAGACTAACTTCAAAAAGTTAGATTAGAAACTCAATATACAGCAAAAGCAGGACGCACTTGGTTCGCCCAAAATCGAGGAACATGTTTTGGTAGGATGAGGCCAAGATACACTTATTGGATCTTATGGAAAACCTTATGTTAGGCGTCGTGAAAGACAATAGTTTAACTCTAAATATACAATTAAGATAGTTAAACATGGCAGCGGTTTGACTATAGTATGAGGTTGCTTCTTATCATCTAGATAAGGGATAGAAAGTGTGCAGTAGATTATTTAAACATTCTTAAAATGTTCTTCCTGAAATGTAGGCCTTGTAATTGCATCATTCAATTCCATTTCCAAGTCATTAGAAGTTTTAAAAGAATTTTTCTGGTGGTAACGTAGCAACATTTAATTGAAACGGTTTAAGGTTTTGCCCTCTCTAACTCTAGTTTCTGGCTTTTCCACATCGTGAAGGGTATTAACTATCATGTTACTGTCCCTGATACTTTTTTTTCTTGCATAGTTTTACCATCAATTTTCGTTCAAAAGGGTTACAATCATTTCCATATTGTTAACCAAGATTATTATTTGTTTATTTATCCATTAAAACTCGAAATATATTTGATTTTTTTTAATTCTAAATTTAACTTTTTAAACAAATTTATGTTGAGTATTCCTATTATTTCTGCCAGCTCAAACGCAGTCAGCTTAAACAGAAAAAATTTACTCCGAAATTCTAGAAATAATTGACGGAAAATGAATTTAACACAAAGTACTGTTATAATATAGCATAATAAAAACTGTTTTTGGGTTTTGAAATATGCCAATGGGGTGGCCGCTATTACTTCTGCCACCACTGTATATATGTATTTGTATAAACAAATATATAATATATAGACATGGTTGGTTTAAGTAGCGTTCTAACCCCACCATCCACCAGTTAAATCGCCAAAATGTCAGTCATCATAATCGGCATGCAAATTCTGTTGATGTTTACCCGCGTAATTGATGTGAATTTACGATTCATTTAGCCAAGCGCCGCCACACGCTTGGACACTCTCCACACACCCTCAACTATATGCCGCGAGCGTCGATGCCCTGCTGTCTACGACTCCGTCAAGTTAGCTGACTAACAGTTTTCGTGCATTGCCTTGCATGTTAGCTAGCCAAAGCTCATGAATAAGTCTCAGTCACTAAGCCGCGCCGCGCCGTCTCCAGCCGCCACTTGACGCACCAACTCAGCCACTTTCAAAGTGAAACTTCTCCATCCAAAAGTCATTTATTCATTTACTTACTTACTCAGCTTCGGTTGTTTTTCCTTTTATGTTTCCTTTTAAAACCTCTTTTTAGTCCTATAGCCATTGGGATCCACTCACACCATGCCTCTAAAAAGCTCTGTGAGCGTAGGCTGAAAGTCAATAAAACAGAGTGGAGAGCGGGTAATAATGTTTCGTTGCTTGGTTAAAATTAAAATTCGACCAGCAAACAGTTATGAGAGGTTATTGAATATATAGATAATATTATGGTCATATTGTTTGAAAATCAGTAGCACTTCGAGAGGCATTTTCAAAGCCGACGAATGTTTTTCATTCTCGTTAACTGTCGAAAACTAAATAAATAATTGAAGTCGCGAATCCAACTGTTTCCATTGAGAATAATAAATGGAATACTAATCAATATGAATATACATGGTAATCAATGGATTATGCCATCTTTCGTGTAATATATTTTCTGTCTTTCCACACACTTCATATTCTCGAAAGCCCTTATTAACTTTATGGTTATACCTAAGGGACGAGTAGCTAAACCACTTGGACAATCCTTGTATTTGGAAATCGGTTTAAAATTTTCGAAAATAAAATAAATATTCGATTGAAGTTTTAAAAGTGCATACAACACGAAGTTCGATAACTAGCTTTTCAAACAATATACAGAAAAATGTTAGAAGTACTCAAGAGAAACATAAAATATATGGTGTTATCAGGTTTCTAAGAACTATTTTTTATTAAGGCCTGACTTTTGTGGAAATGGTTAACATGTTCAATTCCCCATTATACCAAAATGCCATCATAAGTGTTTTTATTCATTCTAAGGCTAATTTAAATTCAATATCCGTGGAGTTTTCTTTGCAGAATATTGATGAAAGTACCTCTAATCTTATATATAGATATACATATAGAATAATTTACTCATATGCATATGTAAAGAGTGGAGCTTAAAGAGTGCTCCCACTATAATAATATTTTCGCGTTCGCTGGGTATAATTGGCCCAACGAAAACACTTGAAACTACCGACGCTAAAGCAATGAGTAGGTCGAAATGCTCATGCCATTTGCGCCTAAAAATTAACTTCATTATTTTGCTGTTGAGATTTAAGAGCGGAAAAACGCACGTAGACGAGTAGCTCATAAAGATAAACGAAAGAGTGAACGTGGAGAGGAGATTTGAGTGGAACAAGGATGATGATATTATTGAAGGCTGTGAGGGTACTACAAAACCTAAACCACTGCAAACTTGGGCGCCTGATGACACTGCTTGACCTTAGGTACATTTTAATTTTATACTTTTGCCTTAAGCGCGAACCGCCTTCACCCCGACGTCGCACAAATAAACATCACAGCTAAGCGGCTTTTGTATCCCTTTGCTTTGAAGGACCTCACCCAGAGTGACCGTTAAATTGCGCGCTTTGAGCAACAATAACAACGTAACACAATTTTGGTGTGCGGTTAACACAAAACAAATGTAAAACAAATGGTTGACTGGAGCAACTACCAAAAGAAAGAAAACCCGCGGGAATGGGAGGGAAACAAAGGAAGTATGGGTGAAATAACGGGTATTTGAAGGAGTGTCGGCGAATTTGTGTGCTGAAAATTGCACTTTAATCGCTTGCAAAGCATGTCACAAAAAAGCATGTTTACAAAAGCCGGTCGTCGGGGTTCGACTCGTATGCCGCGCAAAGGCAATGTAGCGCTAGTATAATGTAAGAACTTTAAAATGCCGACACGTACCAGCTGAGGGTGTTTCAAAGAATTCATTCGCTACTCTCACTTCGCCTTTATGAGCGCAAGTCAATTCTCTAGCGCTTTTTTTAGGGCTTTTTAACGCGCTGTCCGTGCTGCCCAGCTTGTCGTTACCTTTTCATTATAACTGTTTGTTTCTTTGTATTTATATTTGTTGTTTTTAATTGTTGTTGTTAATGTTGTTGTGATTTTACTGCAAGTCATTGACTTGCCGAATGATAGTATGTGTGTGCCGTTGTGTAAGGAGAGCGAGTAGTTGTTTGTTGACGCACATGACTTGCAATTTTTTTTGTTTTTGCTTTCTTACGCTACGTTTTTTTTCCCCTCACATCCTTTACACATGCTACACTTTTTAACTGGCCTTTTGTGCTGAGAAAGGTTTTTAAAGCGGAATTTATCATTTACCCATCCTCTACGAGTTCTTGCCTT